TTGCCCTTGAGTTTCCTTGGTATTATCCTCCCTTGCTACACATCTGCCTGCAGCCCTCTTCCGCTTTCATCCTATTCCCACCTTCCTTCTCTTTCCTCTCCCCCCCCTCTCCTCTCACCTTCCAACTTCCATCTTCCGGCGCTGGACCGAAAGGAAAACTTTCCATTTCAATGGCCTCGACGTAGATGACTGAGAAACAATAAGAGCAAGTTCAGCCCGGACTGCTTGCACTACCTCCCTCTTTGTCTTCATGGGCGTTCACAAACTGCAAGAAGGTCAGGAAAAGTCCAACAGCGAATGTTACGGTACCTGACACACAAACCCAGCGTCTACAGTGAAAGATCTAGCTTTGCCTCCATCTCTTGGTACGATGTGGATAGTCGACTTCTTCGACCCGTCGTACTGGATGCTGGAGGGGGAATCACTCCGAGCAAGGAGAGCGAGGAAGGGGAGGAGGAGCAGGAGCAGGATGAGAGGAGCAGGAGAAGGATGAAAGGCTCTACTGACTTATCGATCGCCGACCCAATCCCAAGGTTGTACTTGAGCGAGTTGAAAGATGTCGGGGCCTGGTGGAGGATGTAGTTCCTCCTCGTGAACGCGAAGTCGTGGAAGATCTGAGTCGATACCGTCAGGCGCATCAAGGCAGGCCGATCAGCGATATCTCACTGCGTGCCCCCCAGCGTTGAATGACTTCTTGCTCTCCACCTCCCACGACTGACTGTACTCGATGAACTCCACCTCTCCTCCTCCCAGCGCCTTGTAGGTGAACCCGACCAGACGATCGTTGGCCGGATCAAACCTGAACGACATGTCAGATAGAAGTTGAGGAAATGAATCTTTCTGATCATGATCGCATTCGTCACTTGATCTTCCTGCTGTCCCTCTCATCTATCCTCATCCTGAACAAGATATGCACATGTATCCAGACATCTCATGGTCGTCTTGCTCCCTCTCCTCTTCTTCTCTTCTCTCGCAGCCAACATTCCATCCTCACATCTTCACATTTCCAACTACGTGCACCATGAAATCAAAACCTCAACCTGAACCGATTGTTTCCCCTTCTCACATGTCTACTCATTCTCGTTTCTTCTTCCCCCATCTTCTACCTTGGTCTTGCCGTGAAACTGCCGTCAGCTGGAAGCGACTTGGCGATCCTAGTCTGCCCGATGGTGTACAGGCTGGCAGGGTCCAGCTCTACAGGGTCCAGCATGATGAGTCTCAAGACATCGAGTCATGAGCAACTCACCGAAGGGCAGACCGCATTCATAGAGAGCGAGGAGACGACCCCCGAAGAGCATGGCGTTGGTGTTGGCGCAGTTCTTGACTTCCTTCTGCATTCCCTTGCTTCCGAAGAACCCCCGGAAGAGCGGGAGACCGCTGTATCCGTTCTCGAGGGCAGTGCTCTCTTTGACGTAGCTCTCCGTTCGGACGAACCTGCTCCGGAGCAAGCAGGTCCCATCCCCAGCAAACGTGAAGGCGCTGACCAACCCGTCACCATCCAAGGGATGCTGCAACTTGTTGGTGCCGAGCTCGAACTTGCCGGGTCCGTTGCGATACAAAGAGCCGACGAGATCGGAGGGGATCGAACCCTCCATGCTCTCAGCAGGGATTGTGTACGGCTGGATCTCTTCCTCCATGGATCTCCATCCCTGCAACCAGGTGTCCTTACTGGAGGTGGCGGCTGCCATGACAGGCGCGCAAGGGTTTGAACGTCTGGAGGAGGAGCCCGTCGCTCGTGCAGCATGGAAGCACGAGCTCTTCCTGTGATGGGCATGGAAGTAGCCGAGGGAAGCTCTTCCTGCATGCGGAGGTGCCCACCCGTACGCTGCTCCTGCAGCCATGCAGGCCATCGCCACCGCCATGCAGGCCATCTTTATATGTGCACGACTGTACTCATCCAGCACAATCTCGTTATAGAACGGTTACAATCCGTTTTCACCGCTAGAGTCCAAACTCCGCCGAGTATACTGTGTCGGAGACATCAGGAGACTTAGCGACTCATCATCCCTCGTCCTCGTCCTCGTCCTCGTCCTCGTCCTCGTCCTCGTCCTCGTCCTCGTCCTCCTTAGTCTTCCTCGTCCTCGTCCTCCTTAGTCTTCCTCGTCCTCGCCTCGTCCTCGTCCTCCTCAGTCTTCCTCGTCCTCGTGCTCCTCGTCCTTGTCCTCAGGGCCTCGTCCTCGTCGTCCTCGACTCTCTGCCCGGCTCTTCCTGACCCCTAACTTCCTCTTCTTCACCCGGCTGCTCCATTGACCTTAAGCAAGGGTTCGTGGCCAAACTCACAAGACTGAGACACACAAAGTTCATCAGCATAAGCCGTCAATCTTATCTTATCTTATCTTATCTTATCTTATCTTATCTTATCTCGAGGTCTTTTCTTATCCTCTATTATCTATCATCACTTCACTTCACTCACTCGTTCTGTTCCTCGTTGTCTCACTTTCTCTTCAGCCGACCAGCAGGAAAGAAAATCTTCAAGATTCTCTGCAAACAAAAATCTCAGTGATTCACCAACTCCTCGTCCTCTCCCTTCCTTCTCGGTCTTCCCCCTCTCCCTCGCTCCTCTCCCTCTCTCCTCTCCCTCCCTCTACCACCTCTCCCTCCCATCCTCCTCTTCCTTTTTCACAGACCTTCAAGTTTCGCTTCCAAGGAGAGGTCGGAGCTTCCGGCTTCTTGTCCTCTTCCTTGGAGGGGAACAGCAACCGCCACAGGCTCCCTCCCTTCCCCTCGCGGCATCGCTGCAGCTCTGCTACCAGCGCATGCTCCTTGTCCCCGCAGCTGCCAGAAGGTCAGGAGACATCAAGAGAGGGGGAGGAGCAGCAGCGGAAACAAGAAGAGCACGTAGAAGAGGAGATGGAAAGTTGCAAAATTAGAAGCAGCAGCAGCAGCAGCAGCAGCAGCAGCAGCAGCAGCAGCAGCAGCAGCAGCAGCAGCAGCAGCAGCAGCAGCAGCAGCAGCAGCAGCAGCAGCAGCAGCAGCAGCAGCAGCAGCAGCAGCAGCAGCAGCAGCAGCAGCAGCAGCAGCAGCAGCAGCAGCAGCAGCAGCAGCAGCAGCAGCAGCAGCAGCAGCAGCAGCAGCAGCAGCAGCAGCAGCAGCAGCAGCAGCAGCAGCAGCAGCAGGGAAAACAGAAGGATCAGGAGCAGGTGGTGGTGGAGGAGTAGGAAGTGGAGCAGCAGTAGCAGCAGGAACGGCGGATTCAAAGCATATCAAACCTCCTCAAGGCTGTTGACACGATCTGCTTTACGGCGAGTTGATTGGAGAGAGAAGTTTGGCAGACAGAGTTCGAGTCGATCATCGCCTGATGGTTGTCAGACAAGAGAGAAGGAGGAGAGAAGCGGGAGAGGGAGGTGGAGGACAAGAGGAGAGGACAAGGACAAGGACGGGATATGCCTCGAAAGAGGTGGTGGAGATGCAGGACGAGGTAGAACGAGACTGCGAAGAAAGCTCTAGGATAGGTAAAAGGATATGGTACGAAGGAGAGCAGGGAAGAGGGAGGGTAGAGAAGAAAGAGGAGGAAGCAAAGGTACCTGAGCAAAGTCGTGCGTGTGTTTTTGTGCTGGGGAGATACATCTTGCCGCTGCTGATTGACTTTCTTTCACCAACTTGTTGTACTTCACCTGAAAGAGGATAAGCTACCTGCTCCTGCTCCTGCTCTTGCTCCTGTTCTTGTTCCTGTTCCTGTTCCTTCTTCCCCCTCCTCTTCACCTACTACTTCACCCTTCCTCCTTCAGCGCCTCCTTCGCATTCTCCTGTGCCTCCTCCTGTTCTCGTTTCTTGTCCTGATTTCCCTTCCTTGCTTCCCAGTCCTCCTCCTCCTCCTCCTCCTCGTCTTACCCGCTCCTCCTCCAGCTGCTTCGTCAGCGTCTTGGTTGTGTCTCTGCACCTGCTGAACTTCTCCTGGACCTGGGCGAGAGCTTCTTCGAACTTGCAATGTGAGCCGGTGAGCTCTGATAGACGAAGAATTAGATAGAGGAAGAAGAGATGGATGAAGGATGGTAGCGCCAAGATGTTGGCGCAGGAAGATGGAGGTAAGGGAGGAGGAGGAGGAGGAGGAGGAGGAGGAGGAGGAGGAGGAGGAGGACAAGAAACGAGAACAGGAGGAGGCGCAGGAGAATGCGGAGGAGGCGCTGCAGGAGGAGGAGTGAAGTGAGAGAGGGGGAGAAGGAACAAGAAGAAGCAGCAGCAG